TTACAATAATGCGGATATGTAAAATCTCATTCGGTAGAGGTTTACTGGATTTTAACATTTTCTATTCAAATGCACTTACCAGTTTTATCAAGTTTGGATATATACACACATCACACATATAACATATGATGAAAATTCTGATATAACGATGGGGGAACACGATCACAGAGAGATGAAGTTTAAAGCATAAGACGATAGGAATCATAGCCAATTTAATACCTTTTATTTTTCGAAAAAATAATGCTCAACACAGCTAAATCGGCATGCGATATGCTCATTCTTAAAAAAAATTGCACATTTTTAAAGTAAACAAGAAAAAAAAAGTGACAGTAAACTGCAAGGATAGATAAGCAAAAAAGAAATATGCAGATATACTTCAGAGGTTAGATAGATTTTTGGTTTGATTTCATTCTTGTTAGTTAATTCAGTCTGTAATTTTAACATCATTACGTTCTGAAGTGTTAATAAGTATATACATAATAAGCATTACATAAGAATCACAAAACAAGGATTAAATTTAAAATGATACAGTTTAGGTTGATTTTGTTACTATTTTTAGAATAAAAAGAAAATAACCAAATTAAAGAAAAACTTTAAGGGACTATTACAAATTATGATTTAATTTTAAATATAATATACAACTTATAATTAATAAACATGGGCAATGATCGATCTCATTATTTATTTTCAGGAAAGGTGGTACATGCATGCAAGAATAATTTTCAATTAATGAAAATCCTTTAAAATTACTGTCCTTCAAATAATTGTTTCCCCATAGTTATGCATTTCTAAGAGCACATGTAGAGGTCTTGCATGCTTTGGGGCAAAGGCAGCTTGTGAGATAAGATTGAACTCAGCGTGCTATTTCTTGGGACGTTTAAATATAGTTGTCCTTTTATGTGCTTCTTCAAGTGAGGGAAAGGGAAATAATTGACAGAGGTCAGATCTGGTAAATTGAGGGTGGAGAAGGAAAACAACCTCCTTATGAATGAGCAACTTCTGCCTGATTATGGCAGTTATAGGAACACTTGTTAATGTGCAGCAGACACCACGACCCATTTCCGTTACACTGGGAATGCATACATTTAATCTCACGTTCACAGAGCTGGCTGCATTCAGCATTTTGCCCTCTGGGAGGGTATTCTTTATGAATGATCCCTCCAACATCAAAAAAGCTAATCAGCATTGTCTTGATAGATGACTTCTTGCACCTAACCTTTCTTTTGGTGACCCTAGGCCTTCTGCTTTGCTTCTAGGTCTTATCTTAAGATACTACTACTTATCCTTAATTATCCACTAAAAAAAGGTACAATCACAATTCAGCTTGCTGATAAAGTCTCTGCATGCCTTCATTCTGTCTTGTTTCTGAACAGAAACCAAATCATGAGGCACTAACCATACATACAGTTTACACTTACTTATTTTTTCAGTTACAAATGAATAAGCAGTCTATGACACTCCTGTATATTTAGCCAACATTTGAAGTCCATTAATAATTTTATCCCGAGCTGGGAATTTTGATATTTCTGTCTGTAATGGCATGACAGGCCTATTTGCCATTGCAAATCCTTCATGTTGTCCCAGCAGCGGCTGAACCCACTCATACATACATTTTTTCGATGAAGCACCATGTGGTGAAGCACGTGGTGACATTCCCTTTGTTTTTAACAAGCTAAAACAGACTTTACATTTGTACATTTTCCCATTTCACCTGAAACAATCTAACTGCACTAACCTTAATTCCACAATCCAAACTGCACATCAATTATGTGGCTTTGCAAACGATGACCAACAGACCTCAAGCTTCACTAGCCTGACTGTCAACCAGTAGTACTAGCTACACTACACACCAGCAACTCATTCACTGCTTATTAGCAAACTAATCTAAATTTCCTAAAAAATGCAGAAACTACTGAAAAACTGGAAATGATTAAGAGATTTTACTTTTCAGAAAAAACTGGAAATTATACCCGTTTCTTGCACATAAGCCAAAAATTTGAAATCCACACATTAAATATCTCACAAAGTAACTTTTAAAGTAAGTAAATTTAATGGACACTCATAAATAATGAAATATCCTACAAATCATTTGTTTAATTTACTAAACAACCATATATCATTAAGATCATGTCAATTGGCTTTTTGGATAACAGCAAAGTATACCAGACCTATTCACTCAATCAATGCTTTCACAGATTTTTTAAAGGGAAACGGCTTTATTTATGGGGAAAACCAATGAAAATCCCCATGTGTGTTAGTCCAAATTTAAACTGTCAATGTTCAAGAAACTTAATGCTTGGCTACTGATAGGCCAAACAGGTTTGAAGTAAAAAAACACATTTTTTTATGAGTGATAAAATAAATCTGAAGCTCCTCTAATTTATATATATAAGATATGCCAAGAAATAAAATCATTGACAAACAAGGAGAAAATTTTAATTACTTTGGCACACCTTAGATTACCAAAAGGGTGTATAAATAAGTCATATACATGACCATAATTTCATATTTGCTACATTTCTACAATTATTAATTAGCTAACTGACCCAAAAGTGGGATATCTTAACAATTAATATAATAATGATTCCATAAAAATACATGGCTCTAAAACTTCAAGCTGTTTCCCTGAATGCACGTAATTTAACTTAAAATTACTGGTAGCCAAACTTTAATTAAGTAAATATAGGCACAACAGAAAAATCCAAAAGCAGACTAGCAAAAGGGAAATAAAACAAATTGATATACACCTACAACAAAATTTACCTAAGGTAAAACTGAACTTCAAATTTAGTTTTAGAACTTGCACATAAAACTGCAATTAAGTGAAAAATTTTAAGACTGAAATTCAAAATCTGCTCTTAAGTACTAAAAAAGGTTCTGGTAAAAGAGTGATAGTCTTCTGCCTCATAACAAATGATTCGAGATTACATATTCAAAAAAATACTAATATATTTACTATTTATGCATTTAAATTTCTTTTTTGTGTAAATGTTTACTTATGACTCATTTTTGTCTACTTTCACAAGCTCTTTGTAAAGCAGTTTCTTAAAAGAGAAAATGACTTTTTTCCTAAACAAGCAGCAATGGTATTCTACATTTAAGAAATTATTATTATTTTAAAAATGTAAAATACTGTACTTGATTTCACTCTATGTTACAACTGTATCAGTATAAGACTTATTTTGAAAAAGTTGAATTCATATAAAAAATTAACTATGCAGTGAATCATAACACCTTTGTGTACAGCCCCTAGTGATTATCTATCTTTAGAAGCAAGTGTTCAACAAGCGGAACAAACCGTAACACCTGACTGGTTATGACCTATAAAATTTTACTGAAAGGAATCGATTTGTTATGATTTTTATTCTTTTTCTGGACAGCACATGTACTCCAGCCAAAAATGCCTTAATAAGTTTGATATGACATTTCAGAAGTAAGAGCACAGGCTAATTGTGGTAAATTTTACAACAGATTTCTCCCTTTAAAAAATTTCTTCTTATTATTCCAAATTTACATACTTTTAGGAAATTGGATTCCTCACTTTGCAAACAAAATATTGTACAATTTTAATGTCATAACAGATGAAAAAGAAGATTTAAAAGCCATATTACATACAAAAATATTCATTTAAAGGACCATAGTAATACAAATTTAAACACCTGTATCACATCTTTCAAAATAACATTAGAGTTATTAATTCAACTTAGTATAAACATGAAATAAAACCATTGCATAACTCTAGCTTCTATAATAAAAAATTCTTTGCAAAATTCAGTACATTTCAGATGAAACAAAGGTAACCCAAATAAGCTCTTATTAATATATAGATGGGAAGATTTAACTATTCTTAGTTGAGATATTTGATATATATTTAATATTACTTTCTTAGTAATAATTAACGTTTCTAGCTCATTACCAAGAAGATTTCACTAGTTTATTTAGTTATAGCATTTCGTTTATACGGATTTAGTGATTACTTCCATTGCTCACTGTTGCAGAGATTTAACTTACCTATTTAAAATATCAAATAAATATTTAATACTTTTTTTAACAACGATACAATAGTTCTTTTTACATTGCTTACTGTTTCTTCTAAGTTGCAGAAATAATGTTTATATTCACAAAAAACAGTTGGCAGTTCAAACAACTTCTGTATACTTTAGAGATAAGACACAACAGACACCTTCTAATCGCTTATTTATATATTATCAAAATTAAAAAAATAATAATAAAATAAATAACACCTTACAAGGAATTATCTAATCCACACAGTACCTTTACTTTTTAACAACTGTGTACTTAATTTTATTAACATAAAAAATCTAGATAACTCAAACTTGCTTCAGAGTAAATTAAAATTTAAAGTAAAAAAAAAAAAAAAAACTAGCACAACTAATACAGCTGATTTAAAAGATTTAACTCAATCAATAATGCTTTATTAGTTTTAAACACAAACACTCGCCCACAAAGTTTAGTCACAACATAGATTAACGAACTGTTAACATATTGATTTGACTATTTTTAATAACAAAGGAATATATGCTTTACATATTTCATCAGTTGTTTTATACAAATATAATGAGAACATTTTTTTTTCACCAATTTATTTTGGGCGTATTCATTCAAGTGCGACGGTAGCCTTAATTAAATTAGTAAGTTCGCGCTTTATCTCATTCATATAACGTAATTAAGTAAAATCTACTATACGATGAACCTTAATAACAAATGATATTTAAGAATTATTTTTCTCTAACAGTATACATTGCACAACTTTCAGTGAATTAGGCTTAATAGATAGATTTTTTCCAATACGTAGTTGCATCAATTAATTCTCAATTTTAATAATGGCCCATTTATTATCATATACAAAATAGACTACTCTCCTGATTAAACAATGACTTGAATACTTATTAATATAAATAAACAAATCGTCAGAAGAGTTAAAAAGAAAGTAACCCTAATTTTCTAGTAAGGAGGCAATGAATACTATACATACTAACCTTTAGTACAGGACTAGTAAAGCGTTTATGAAATAACTGCACACACAAAATCTTAAAAAAAAAAAATCAATTCCAAACGCTATAAAAAAAAGGAATCCACGGTTTTGTTCAAAGAAATTATTCTCGTAAATAACCTACGTCATTTGCAGAAAATCACAAGCTGAGAGTTCAGACATGAACCACCCTCAGCTCAATAATACCACATTACTACGTGATTTGACAAAATCTAAATCCGCCATTACGCTAACACCAAAATATAAAACTTTTATATTGTATATCAATAATAATAAATTAATCTAAAATGCAAATAATTTACAGCTGTCTTTTTAAGTTTATGAGCTGCTTAAATGATTTACTTTCGGAATTTTCACATTAAAATTTAGATATCCAAAGAGGGTACTATATTTCCACTTTTCTGCTGCACTATAGAAATCAGCTGTGTTTTGAGTTTGGTAAGGGATACATTATAGTTTCTTTTATTAAATACTGTCTAGTTTATTGAGTAAAAAATATTAAATTTCATTAAGAAGAAGTGTATTAAAGAGTTTCACGGCCCTTACATCACGAGATGATATTTTATTATTCTTAGCGGTTATTTTGAATGACATTGCAGTGACGTCGAGTTACTCTCTTTAATTTTAATCATTTAAATAAATCTTTATAGCATTGCTATGATTCCGTTAGACATATAATTTAATGAGTATTTTTTGGATTATATTGCACAGTACTTGATAATTTATAAATGGAAAGACGTTTTCTGTCAACGAGAGTGAGTTAAATCCTATTTTACTTTAGAGTTTAAATAAAAATAAGTTTTTATTTTTATCGGATCTTTTTCATGAGCGGGTATTTTAACATTTAGTCAAAATGTACTTGAATTAGCATGTGTGTGTTTTTAAGTTGAATTGCATATTGTGATACTTTAGTGTTTAATTTGATAATTGAAATACATCTTATGTGTTAATATAGGTATTCACTCTTTAACAAATAAATAGCTTAGCTGTTTGTCGTTACTTTACCAGCTCCTGTATCCAGTTTTATTTTTACGTGTCATTTGTGAATATCATGGAGTTAGACTATGTATTAATTTTATGTGGCAACGAATTTCAGAAACTTTTTTTATCTATTATATTTTTCATTGTGAGTTATTCTTCTGCCAAAAATGTGAGAAAAATAGAATGAACTATAAAAAGTTATTTTAAACATTTCAATATCACTTGTTTCATTGTTACATTATTTAGAGGTAAAAACATTTTTATAACAAAAGCAAATGATCGTGGTGTATTGTTAGGTAAAAATAGAGTAATGTGTACAGTGGCATAGCTAGGGTGGTGCAAGGGGGGGGACATCTGTTCCTGGGTACAACATCAAGGGGGTGACAAATTGATGTAATGAAATTTTAGAAGGAAATGTTCATTATTGGTACATAAAAAGGGACCCAAAATCTTTCAGTTGTTCCCGGGAGCTGAAAACCCTAACTACGGCTCTGGCTGTGAAATAAACCTCTCTAAGGAGATGTCTCCAAATAATAAATTTTTTCCAAATTTTTTCATAAATTGCATCAATTAAAATTATTTTGTATTGAGTTATTAAACATTTATAGGCTATCAGAAAAAGAAAAATCGAAGGTTTCTGAAAATCACTTAAAAAAAGGTCATTACATCTTGTTATGAATTAAATATTATGGGATTTTAGTTTTTTTTTTTCAAAATTTACAACTTTTTTAAAAAATAATTACTTGTGTGTTGAAATAATAATGCTACTTTTTTTTAATCATGCATTTACCTTTTTTACTGTAATTAATGACCAATATTCATCATAGAATTTAAATGAAAATAAAATATTAAAAAATGAAATGGAACTTTGAAATAATAGTGCTACTTGTTTTAATCATACATTTACCTTTTTTACTGTAATTAATGACCAATATTCATCATAGAATGTAAATGAAAATAAAATATTAAAAAATGAAATGGGACTTGGTTGTATATGAGTGGCACCTAGTGCTACCTTATAGTAATACCATCTATGATAACATTCTAGGATACTTCATTATTAAAATGGCCATATTTAAATAAATCCTGTGGTTGCTGATATTCCTTATGATGTGCATGTCAGGTAACAGTTTGTGAATTTTTTTTTTAAACTTTTCCTTTATTGTAAATTATTATATCTTTGTTTTTCATATCTGTCTCTATGTCTTATGTATATTTTCAGAACAAACTAAAAAAAAATGTATCTACTTCCTTGATTACGTGATCTTGCATTTAATCACCAAGATTGGCAAATTTAATTGCTTCATCTGTATCGTGACAATTTCAAGTGTTGTTAAATATTTATTTCATGATAAGGAAATACAAAAACAATTTGTTTATGATCAGTATCAAAGCTTGTATTTTATTTTGTGCTGCCTTTTAATTTAACAGTAATTTTACACCACATGCATTTCTTTGTAAAATTACTGTAGTGAAAATGTTTTGATGAGAAAAATCTGATATTATATTTATCTAATTGTTGCTATACTAATAATACATATCTTTAATTTTTCTAAGATTAGAAATGAAGATTCTAATTTTAGATTAATTAGAATTTTCTAATTTTAGAATTGAAGCCCTATAGAAGGCAATCAAGAAGGAGGGAAAATATAAATAATTAAAATAACCAAAAAAATAATGAATTAAGGAATTATTAAAATAATAAAGTATTTAAACTGAAATAAAATTAAATGGAATGTAAAGAGATTAATAAAAAAATATCAGACCTCGTGTTGTTTGGTATGTTGGCTGGAATTACAGTTACATTCATTTCTAAGAAATAGCTCAGCTATCCTCCAGCTGAATGCAAGTCCTGAGTATATGGTATAATATACCAGTTTAAGGGATGCTTTATAGAAGAACCATTCTTTTTTTCAGAGCACATTAAAAAAAATAAAAAGAATGAGAACAGAGATAATGCTAGAAACAATATGAGAATATGGATGAAAATTTGGACAAATGTAGCTTCAAAATCAAAGAGGGAGAAGTCCACCACTTTCTGATGCCTTACCAATATAATTTTAGTCAAACAGAATGCAGCAAGAGAAAAATTTGCCCTGAATCTGACCCCATAAAAATGTGAGAATAAACGTAAGGCTCCTCTGTGCAAGTGACAATTTTCATCCTCCTTGTTTGGTTATATCGTTCAAAAAGTCTGCAGGAGCTCTGCATTGTAAAGCAACTAGAGTTGTTTGTGCACAACTTGGGTGATTACTTTTAATGCTTTCAGGAATATAAAATTTATCTTTCATAAATTTACTCTTCTTTGTGGAGAATGAGCTTTTGATGTGTTGGTGGGGAATTCAGTGCTGTTCTGTTAGTGGGACCAAATAGAAATGCATATATGGATGTATGTGTTCATGTATGTATAAGTACATACATATGTATGTGTGTGTATACAACCACTTATATTCATACATATATTTCTGAATTCAGTCCCAATAATAGAAGAGTACCCAATTTTCTTTTCATAAAAGTTTCAACCTCTGTCCATGGTTTCTGTCTGAAGGAAAGACAGGTGTGCATTCAGAAGTTAAAATTGACTTTTAAGGCACATTTATTGTTAAGATAAAATTTGTCTGCTGAAATTGTGGTTCACTTAGATGAAATAATTGGCAGAGTTCTGTTATTTTAGGGTTTTGTCACACTCTATCTTGAATTATGATTTATCTAAAAAATTGAGAACGCCTTGAGTACACCTTAAACTCTGTAAGTTTATATCAATAATTTGTGCACAGAAGTTATGTAGTAACGAGTTCTTTCATTCATGAAGTGTGCTTAAATAGAATCCTTTCTTAATAGCAGCAATAGAAAAAGTAATCATACAAACATACATACATTATTAAGAATTTAGAACAACTTGAACATTATAAATGTTTTATTTATTACCTTAGAGGTTTATGTTAAACATATTTTTGAAAGTTTATAAATTAACAGTGTTTATTTTTTATCCACAGGTTTCAGCTTTATTGAATTCACCTGTTTTGCCAAAATTTGCTCAAGTTCAAGAAGATTGTTTAGAAAATGTGTATAAAACAAAACAATTAGGTCCATTGGGTAGAGCACCTTCACCTAAAATTCCTGCCAAAGTTGTTAAGTCATTCTTTGGAAGGTCTAGTGAAAAGGGTATGTAATACATTTTTTGAATTCTTTTAAACAGGCAAAAGAGTTGAAATATAGAACCAAGCTGTTAGTTCATTCCGTTGCTTCTGATATTGTATTTTTATTTACAGCATGCTTAATTTAAAATAAAAAACCTTCCTTTCAGGTAAATAATCTTGCCATAAACACTTAAACAAATTGACTTTTATGCTTAGTAAAGAATTCATATGAGAAAATCCACATTTGCTGTTTATTTAATTATGGTAATTATTATCAATTCCATTTGTAATCTAAAGATGCATAAACTGTTTTATTAATAGGGTTTTAAAGCTAAAAATAAATTATAAATAATTATTACCTATCTGTTGTAAAGATGGTAGAATATTCCCTTAATTAGCTTTATGACCTTGAATTCATGCTGTGTACTAACAGTGTCTGATTAAGCTGGCCACTTAATTAAACAAATCCAGGAGGTCAAGTAGCCAGATGGCTACTATGACTACTAGAATGTGACCTGAAATTTCAGCATCGCAAATAATCTTTACATGGCAATGCTGATGTGCTTTCAAAAAGATCCTGTATGGAAAAATGCAATCACTGCATATAATATGCTCTTGGTCATCAATATTTTGTGAAAGAACTGTTTCGATCACTTCTTTGCTGACATTTTTATCAAGAATAAAGTCATAGGAGTGATCTCGGTGTTCAACCTTTTTTCCACTTCAAAGCAGGAATGTGTCTGCATGATAGCAGAACAAAATATCTGTGTTCCTAAGTGAATCGAGGTGCATGAAGAAAGTCAGCTGATCAATACAAAGCAGTTTATTCTGAATTTCAATATGCCTGATTTGTCAAAAATTAAAAATTCTTATGTATTAACACAACCACCTTGATACCGTCTGGTGATATTTTATAGATGAAAGAGCGGAAATTACTTATCAATGATTTTCATGTCTTTTTTTAAAAACATATTCCCAAACTATTGATATTTATCGTAAGTCTTCACTGACATTATCAGTGTATGAAAAGGAAACATACTGTAAAAATATTAAATACAAATTTTAATTATTAAATAAGGATTATATAATGGATTAAAAAATAAAATACGTAGATTTTTCACACAAACTTTCTTCAATTTTTTTTACGATGTTCTCCGGTTTTCACTTAAATCAGAGAATTGCACAAACACGGCATTGCAGATCAGTTACCTACTAAATCCATCTTATCGTTCTTCTCATCAATTGATTTTGAGACAAAATACTGCATTCCTGCAGAAATTTTAATGCAGTTTCTTCTATTGTTGGCAAAGTCCACTTGTGATGTTTTAAAATTAAAATGAAGGCAAAAAGTATCACAATTTATCTATAAAAACAATTGGACACTGCAATACAACCACTGCTTGCTTGATGACGTTACTTGACTGAAGGATTGGGCGCATGGTTGCCTGAGAAATGGGTATGTGCATTGTTGCCAGAGTTTGGTGCATTCTGAAAATTTGGTGACTTCTATTAAGGCGGTTGTGATAATACGAAAGTGCTAAATTACAAAGGATAAATATTTCCATTGTTTTTTTAAGATCAGATGGCACCTAAAAACAATTTTATTGACTCCAAAATGTAGAATAGCAGACCTTTAAAATGTTGTTTAAAACTTTAACATTGTTTAAATTGTTTTAGATTAATTTAATGTTGTGCTAATGATTTGACTTCAGATTATTTATTTCTGCTTTATCTACAGCATTGGCGTATTAACACTGCAAATGTTAGCAATAATGTAACTTAGTTTTATTATAACTTTAGTATGGCTGTGAAAATAATTTTCATTAATTGCGCATTTTTGTGTATTCATTTACAATCTTGAAAAATATGCAAAATTTAGCAAATTGACTCGATCCTAAATTCTTTTTTAAAATTTTAAATTATTTTAGAACTTATTTCATATACTGGGATAATGTTCCTTCTGATTTTAAGTAAGTAACTCTTTGATAGAAAGTCATATTTTGTCAGTGCAGAGTAAAAATTGTATTGTTTACTTCTTTACTCAATATCTCTCACTTATTGCCACCTCTTTTGCTCAATATCTCTTTATATGGCTGCCTGTAATTTTCAGACTCTTACCATCTCTAGGCATCATTTGTGCAGATTTATCTCTGTATTGTCTGCTGTCAGCTACTTCTGCTCCCCAATGTTCAAATTAGATTTCTATAGAAAGAAATTGTAGAACTTAATTGAACTTTCTCATATAATATTAATTTCTTCATAAAACAGTTATATGAAGCCATTTAATAATGTAATATTTTAACTATGCTTTGCAAACGTCTGACATCAGGATGTCAGAAGATTATGTAAAAGTTCTAAATAAATATGCATAAAAAATAAACTTAATGCTAGTAGAACAGATATGCATACGCTATACCAGCTGATGAATGCTAGCAGATTGAAATTATTCACATGCCACTGGCTAATGTTTGCTGTGAAATGAAGTCATGTTAAAATGAGGGTTGCTATTTATATTTCTAGCCTAATAATGAAAAAACAAATGTTAATGATCAAAATTGATTTTATTGTTTTTCAAAATATTCCCCATGTATATCAATACACTTCAGCATGCATTTGAACCAATTTTCGAAACACTTTTTCCAGTCTGATTAAGATAACTCTGAAACATGCATTTTGAATGCATCAACCACTTCTTCGGGTGTTGCAAATCGCTGACCATGTAATCTATTTTTGATGTGTGGGTAAAAAAAAGTCATTGGGAGCCAAATTGGCTGTGTGGTGGATGATCTAAAAATTCAATATTTTGGCCTTCAAGAATTCATTTGTTTGACTCGATGTGGGAAAGCTTGCCTTGTCATGGTGAAAAATGATTTGCCTCTTATGCTTTTTTCGAATTTATACAATGACTTCTGGCAAACAAATGGTCATGTACCATTCGGAAATAACCATCCTGCATTGCTGTAATGTCATTTTCGCCACATGATCGGTAATACCAAAGAAAGAGGCAACCATTTTCTTCGATGTGCTTCTTCCATGAACAACTTTTGCTTTATTTGGCTCATCTTGGAAGATCTATACAGTCAACTGCTATTTTGCTTTGTGCTTATATGCATAGATCCATGATTGGTCTCCTGTGTAGATGTTATACACAGCCTTTGATGAACATTAAACATATTTTTCCAACATTTCCTTGCACTAATCGACACAAGCCTTCTTTTGAGCATTTGTCAGATTATGTGGGATCCAACGCTAACAAATCTTTTTTATGGCCAAATGTTTCTCAAACTGATATATGCATAATATAAAGAAATTACATCAAGATTTTAACTGATGTGAGCTATTATTATAAAGTCATAAATCTGGACATAAATTATGAATTTCTTATGTTTAATTGCTCAGAATCTGCACTGGTACCTTTATTGTATGTGCATAAATGCATATTGTGTCTATGCTGCGGTTTCTCAGGTCTTATGTTTAAAAATACTGCAGTGAAAAAAAATTGTGTAAGTATTACAAACATATTGTAATAAAAAATTTTTATTTCTAAGAATGAAGGAATTTCTAAAAATTTCTTTGAGTTTATTAGCTGAAGAAAATATTTTGTAGAGCATGATTTTCTTTCTCTCTCTTTTTTTTTAACTCAGAAATTTTTTCGCTCTATAATCTGTTTTATTTTTGTAATAATTTGTATGATTATATATGTAAGGCTATATTGTCCATGTATATGTCATTTTACGTTATGTGTTTTCAGAATGGTGTTTCACTATTTTTCATTTTTGACATGACTTGACTGGCATGTTTCGGAAAATGATTCAAATCCTGTATGGTATTGCTCTGCATTTGCCTAATTACAGGTCCGCGCCAACAATAGGCACAAGGTCGTGCAGGGCATGACGGCCCCGAGTCAAAAAGGCGCCGGGCAATCATTAACACTAGCAGTTCGTCTTCCTGCCTGTCTGAACAGGAAAATTCTTGTTCGATTTGAATGCTCCTCCAGGAGTTGAGTCATGTAAAACCTGGGAAGCTACTGATTAGGATTTGTACCTAGGCAGTCTCGGCCACGGTTGTTTAAAATCAGTCTGCATAGGACTAAAGTCATCACTGGTGATGGTTGTTTCAGGCTCGGCAGGGACCGTATAGTACTGTCTTGTCCATTTCGTTGGTTGTGGGGAAGCTTTATAATATGATATTCATGGTTGTCCGGGATGAAACATCCCTGTCGATAGAGTTGGCAAATTCAGTATGCCTTTAAACTGCTTTAGATTTCCAATGGGTGTCTGGAGCCTCAAAACTGCGTATTCATATCCTTCCTTGGTTTCCACTGGGGTAGCCTGAAGCCGACATCTGTATATTATGACGTAGTGTGAGCAGGTTAGATTGGTGGCCTGGTCTGTCTGACAGAGTTTAAGTAACTTTGTTCTGCTGTCCGGGGCTCCTGTTGATGGCAATTCTTTTACCAGGATGGAGACGTGGAATGTGTGTTACTGAGTTTTCCTGTCTACTCAGTTCGTCAGTTCGATGGATAGGTTAGTGACCTCTTGGATTGCCTCTTGGGGTTGAGGCGTTTAACTGTGTTAAGGCACCCTCAAGCTTGCCAGGTCTGAGTATCCCTTCCTCGTAGCATACTGTTTTATTTGACCGAAAGTTATAATCAGGGCAGGAGTTCATATCTGGTGTTCTCTTCTGTCTTATTTGATCATAAAAATACTTGATGCTGATGCATGTGTAAAGGTAGACGCATTCGACAAATTGCTTAAGCCTTATTTTGTGTCTGCTGTTGCAATCGTAGTAATTTGTACAACATTTGTCTTTTTTGTGATTGCTTGTTGTTATTGTTTTCTTACATTAAAAAAAGGTAAGTGCAGTTACATATTATGTTAAACTTATGTTAACTTTGATGTGCATTTCCGCTACGCATGCGCATAAAGCCAGTAAAGCGTTTACCCATGTGCGGCCTCTGATAGTGAAGAAAGTTACATTAAAAGAAATGTTTAATAAAGTAAACAATAAATATTATGCTTTTTT